TTTTAGGTCCTTTTCTGGTGGCTTTCACATTCAAAGATTGAAAGCCATGTCCTGCTTCTTCACTACATTATAGAATTTTCTATATAAACATGTGATTATATCCATCAAATAATATATTAAGAAATGGAGCCTCCAAACTTCTACAGTAAATGGTTAATTCCTAGGATTTTAAAATGTCACATCATCTTTACGCTAAGCTGATTGAAGGTCCTATGTATGCAGAATGCACGAAACAATTACTGTGATATCATCTCTTTTTCCACCAATACGCCATTTTCCAGCCATCTTAGAATCCTGCGTAAATGGAGTCACAGCCTTTTTATCCATGGAAATGTTGTAAGCTTGTTGCGCCACTTGCCACGCAACGTCCCCTGGATGTAAACTTTGTTCGATCCCTGTTACCGCAATCTCTGATATTTGACTCTCATACAAGTTATCAAATAGTCCATCAGTTCCAGCTATAATAATATCTCCTGCTTCTACTGCAACCTTGATTACCTGCGTGGAAGGAAATAATTAAACACGATGTTGCGGTTGTAAACTTGAGCTAATCATCAACATTTTTCATCACCTGTGCCTGCGGGGGTTTATCACAATTCGCGCAGTTTCCTAACTGATATGGAGAATTGAAAGAGTATTGCTGAATTGGTGATCTGTATGGCTGCACCTTGTCTGATCACCATAAATCCACTATCTCCGATGTTGCAGCATGCAGCATCTACATAGGAGAAAACATTCAAAGATTCATGACTTCAGTTTGCATTAACATGATTTCTGCAATGAGATTGGAGCCAAAATAACACACGTTGTCCTGTGGAGAGTTATGATGCAAGCCGTCGAAGACCCTGCGGCCTTCGTCTTCACGAAGGCCTCATCCAAGACCATCATGGGATCAACCTGACTGTGTGGATGAGTCTGAGAGGGGTAGCAAGAAGAGAATTGTTCATGAGTTGCCTCGCGTATATTCCGGCGTCAACACTTCGCATTCGCCAACCGCCAACACCATCCGCCACTCCAATTGTCTGCATCTCTTCACAGATAAAGTGGCTGTCCTCACCCTGAGACCCCAAATCACCATATTTGGCAATATAAAACGATCCACTCATCATCGTCAATTTTTCCTCTTGAATACCGATTCTGAAACCACAAAACAAAAATAATGAGACGAGGGCACATGAATATTTCGTTTTTCTTAACAGATGATCGAATTAACAGATTATCGAATTCAAGATTAAAAATATTGTCATCCGTCTTATTTATTATTTCTTTGCTTAAAATATCAATCAAGAACACTGCTTAAACCCTCAAACTTTAGCAATTTGTCACTGCTTGCTTTGTTAAACCATTAACATCCAAGTAAATATAAAAGATTCAACAATAGATGGAGTAATCTGAGAATTATTGAAGAAGTGAGATGTTAAAAACAAAGGAGAAGGTTCAAACTCCATACCTATCACTATCGGCAGCCATGGTTTGTTTAGTCGTTGAAGAACTAAAACGTCGCTGTCTATTGAAAAGTTCAAAACTAGGACAATAAGCTTTCTCTTTCTTTCAAGTTAATATATATATAATGTAGCGGCTTGGTGAGGAAGCTTTCTCCTTGTTTCAAGTTATGTAGGATTGTATTACTTTTTCTCATTCAGAGTTCGATTAATAAAAGCCATTCTCCAAAACCAGTTAGCCCTAATGTAGCATTATTTTAAAAAAAAAAAAGTGATAAAAAGTATTTTTAAAAAGTGATTTTTAGAATTATTTTTAAATTATTTAATAATGTTTAGCATTGCATTTATATCATAAACCAATGAATACTGGGTGAGAAATTATGGTTATTGAACATAGAATTCACCAAAACTAAAAGGTAATGTTTAAAGCAGGGATGGACCGAGGAGGATATGGAGGTAATCGTCCTCTGAAAATTCAAAATTATATATTTTAAGTTTTTTCTATCTATTTTTCACTGAAAATATGTTTTTGTCTCTTTCTAAAATTTAGAAATTCGTCCCTTAAATAAAATTTTGTGTCGGTCCATAACTCAAAGTGTTTCCAATGTTGAATGCGCTAGTAGTAATTGCTCTTAGTTTTCTTTGTATGTCCTAATGTTATTGATCCTATAATCATGAGACCTTATTTGGAAAGTTCAAGGATAAATTTTAAGTCCAATGTTGAACTTTCCAAATAAGGTCTCATGAGTTCTTAATAGATTACTAGGTGTTTTCTTTGTATGTTATTGATCCTATAATCAGAGAATTAGCCTAGGAACTAATGCTAATTCTCTGATTATAGGGCTAGAATCGGCATCCAAGGCTCTAAATGAAATACCATAAACTTAATCCACAAAATGACAGGGTTAAATATCACATTAGATCGTTAAAGTAATATAAAATTTATAAATCTTTTTCATTGTAATTCCAAATCATAATATTGTATACCAAAATAATGACATCTATAACAATTATAAAACATTTATACAAAATCGAAGTTTCGTGACAATTTGATATAAATTAAAATAACAAAAATATTATTAGAGTTTATAGACCAAATACATGTATAAAAGTCCTATAAATACACATGTCCTCTGAAGTATTAGTTATATACTTTGATGCGAAAACCTTGGAGTTCTGTTAAGATGGTACTCGATCAAATCCAAGCCACTAATTTGTGAATAGAAACATTTGAATGTCGTTTTAAAAAGCCATCGATACACTTCTACTTTATTATAATTTGTGAGATATTTCATAAAAGTAAGCATGATAAGCAGTAGAAGCAGAGAGGATCAACTCTAAGATGCAATGTCTTCAATAAAGTATCATGCTAATCATTAACATTCTGTGATCTATATGATAGAGTCTTCGTTCTTTTACTAGTTTCACCTAGCCTCGGTCATCAGACAATTAACAAATTAAGCTCATATACAAACAACATCGACACCCAGTGTCACATAGTAATTAGGTAGACATAATAAGGGGAAGTCAAATTCATAATAGCACTTATTACAATTCCTATCACATAATGTAATATATAATATTAGGCTTCAGGTGACTGATCACTAAAAGTATTAAATTTTGTCACTAAAATTTATATTAATCATTTTTTGAGTCATCACTAATAATTTGTTATTATTATAACTATTATAACTTTCACGAATTTCGTCAACATGGTGATAAAAGTCAAATATGAGCTAAAGGTCAATCATGTCAAAGTCAAATAAAAAGTCAAAGGTTAAACTAAAATTCAATGGGTCAGTTAGAATTTGGATAATAATCGAGTCAAATGATTCGAATTACTATTCAGGTCAAATAGGTCAAAGTGTGATGTTAACTGGCTTGATCAAATGGGTCAATCAAACCGGTCACTAAAATGAGTCTTACAAGTCGAATCATGTTAGAGGTAATAAGCCTAGACAGTAGGAGTGGTTATTGGCCCAAGGGCGTTGTAGAGTTTGCAGGCTTGGGTACATGTTTATGATCCGTTTAGCAGGTAATTGCATTGGGCCTCATTAATGACCTAAGATTTTTGTTTAGGGCAGAGGATTTTGATAATAGAAAAGACTGATGGAAGTGGCGATTTTAAGTGGCATGTGGTTCGTATTAGGCGAAAAAAATAGGGAAAATATAAAAGAGAATGTGGCTTACCAGAGATTCGACACGATGATGTTGATGATAAAGAGCATTTTTAATCATATTTACTCATTTAAGCCTCCTTTAAGTTTAACCCTCCGATTACAAACCATTCATTGATATTCGGGCCTCTACAAAGTCAAACTTGACTTCTAGAGACCGGAAGTATTGATACTAGGCTAAGCGTATCGATAATCAATCTTATGGTATCGATACCCTAGGTAGTATCAATATAGGAAAATGCCTCGAATTAAAAGTTTTGGAAACTCACCTTATCTTTCTTTGGTTGCTCTTCAATCCTTTTTTCTAACTAAACATGAAATGAAAACGTTTTCTTAATACAAATGATGTTACGAGAAGCTCAAGGAAGAATTAAAAGTTTAATGGAGACATGAAAGAATTCTTAAACACCCATCTTTGATCTATGAAGTTTGAAGAATGATGGAGGAAGAAGAAAGAAGAAAGAGAAGAAGAATGTAGAGTGCTTAGCTTTTCACCCATTCCTCATGTATGTCTCCAACAAAATCTCAAGAAATCAACCCACTTTTCTATAATGATCTAATTACTCTTTTAGTCCTTGTTTATTCTTTATAAAATTTGCCTTTTATGGCCAATCGAGCCTAGATGCATCTAATTATGTCCATATTGACCCAAAGACTCTAATTATCAACTTTTCTCGGTTCATATCTCTCAGGTCAACTCGCAAATGCTAACTCAAAAACTCGAGGCACTACAAAATTGATGTACAATTGAATTCCAGTTTTGGAAACTGATTTATGGTAAACGCTTCCAACACACGCCTTCCGCCATTTCAACCACGTAGGCCAAAGACGCTGCCAACTAAGAGCTTCTTCGATACAATGCGCTTAGTTGATCATGCCTTTATCTTACGTGACAGAAATGAATATACATTTCTGTAAATATATTCATTTGATTGTTATTCTTTTAATTATATTTAGAATGGGTATTATTCTTATAAAATTATTTGATCCCATATTAGTCGACAGCGAGAATTCGAGCTGAAGATATTAGCTTCGTTAAAAAAATCATGTTGAGAAAGACGGGGCAACTTCCCGGGCCTCGTATTTTTCGACTTCTACCTTGTGGAGTTGATAGCCTAACCACTCATTATACTGAAAACGTTTATAAACATTGATTGGGCGTAGAGAAAAGCTTTCGATTTGCTTCTTTTACCGCACAAGTGCTGTGTAGAAGAAAGCTACTATAGTTTAACATAAAATATACATGAATATAAATCTCATATAATTGTAGCTTTAATTAGCCTGATGTAGGAAATTGTTTTTCATTTACATATTAGGCCAACAAATTGTTGAGAACTGCAGCTTTAACTAGTTCTAATCATTATTCATTTCCAAGGGGGAAAGAAGGTGTAATTCGGGGTTTGAATTCATGGCACCAGACTGGCAAATTGAACTCAAATTATATAGAACAATCATAAATAAGTCGCATGTACTATTATTATTCATGTATAGGACAAGCTGTGTAGACAAGGGCAGCCTATGAACAAAATGGTTTACATCTCACAGGCTATAGATATGGATTCAGTCGCTGTAGATACCGTCGTAAACTCCCAATATACTATCGACTTCGCTAGTTATTCAAATCTTCACCTTGTATATCTTCTTGTATTTGTATCTGTACGCCTTCGTAGTATGTTGCTTAAGGATATTGTTCAGCAAAAATATCCAATAGGGAGAGTGCCTGCAAATTTTAACAGCAGCAACTAAGGTCAGAGCCAAGAAGGCTAGGTGGGAAACTTTCTAACAATGTTTGTCATCTGAGTGAAATTTTACCTCGGGAATGTTCAGTTCAAGGCGGAACTTCGGACCATCATAGTGGTGGAGAATAGGCCTAAAGGAGTCCTCCTCAAGTGGTTCACAGATTTTCCTTGTGAGAACCCGAACCTGCAGAGGAATAATGTTGGTATTTTTACTTTCCAGTTTTCCCTTTTCGCTTTTGTTGGCAAGAAGATGAACACATCATAATGCCTAGACAAATACCTGAGCAGGAAATCGAGACTCGCCAGGGCATTTCTTGTCTTCCCAAGCTGTTGGATCAATGTTTGCTCCTCCAAAGCTTGCAGCCTAAATAGATTATTAGAAGCTCAATCAAGAACTCTGCATAGAAAATAATGGGATGCCACACTTGAGTCCAAATTGCACAGCAAGATCATACTCATTAGTGCTTTCAACAAAAACAAGTCACGATTTCAAAAAATCTCCGATTAAGTCTATAGGGATTTAAATAGCGGCCGATATATTGCGGTGCCATCCAAAATTACATGCCCGCACAATATCCATAAACGCAACACGACCAAAAAAAAAAAAAGCGACAGCAATTTAACTTATTCGAAATAGAATGAATCCCATAAATTGACAGAAAATTATAAGAACAAACCTCAAATATTCCATGGAGTTGGTGGGTGGAGTAGTTGTAAAGGAAAAGAGGCAGGCCCGGTGTTATCGCCCGGACTGAATCTCGGTAGCGTGGAGGCAAACCTACAAATAATGCACAGCAACAATTTTAGGAATTGAATAGCACACGAAATGAATTTATCCAAAAACTCAAGAGCTGAGAAATCAGAATTGGAAACTAAATAAAAAATCCAGAGAGAAAGAGAAGAAAAGACATACCGAAGAGCTGTCTCCTGAGATTCTCCTGCATGGTATCGTTGTTGCAAACAAAGATATACCCACCCACAGTTTCATTCCTAGGCAAAGCCTCCGATGGCGGCAGTGTCCTAAACCTCTGGTCGGCACCACTCTTCACATCTTTAGTTTCATCGTTGTTGCTGTTATTGTTATTCTTGTTACTGTTCTTTCCGCTTTTACCCCCATGATCATCCTCTTTCCCCTTTAGATTAAGGTTGAAATTATTGTTATTCATAAGCTTTGAATAAACACCTTCGTTGAACCCTCCGTTGATTCCAGTGTTCTTCTGAGACCCCATCGGAGCAATCGGAGCAATCGGACCAAATCCGATGCTGTTATTGATGCTACTGACTCCAATTTTCCAGCCATCGTTATTGAAAGAATTGAAATCAGATGGCTTTGGCTTCAAATTGTCGACTGAGTTAAATTCACCGAGTCTGGTATCGAAATTCCTCCTCTCATCCGGCCTTTTAGAAACATGGGCGTTACTCCATATGGAATCGTTTAGGGAAAGATTAGCCAAGTTTGAATTTTGGATCCTAAGTTGATCACTGAACTGCCAAAAAGATTGCTGGTTGTTCTCCATCTTCAGCTTCGATTCTCACTTACAACCTCAGAAGAAAAAAACCCAAGAAACTGAGAAAAAAATATAAGAGTATGCAGAAAGAGAGAAAGAGAGAGAGAAATGCAAAATTAGGTAAAGAGAGTGTTAAATAAGATTGGATTACATGAGAAATGGGTTGGAAAGCTACTGAATCGGGGAGTGGAGACTTTAAGCGGGGAGATTAAGATTGCGTGTCAGAGTGGAAAGTTAAAAGGAATAATGAAAAAATTAACCCTGTACAAACAGTCATTTTGCATTTTATATTTTGTACCACTTAATTATGTGTAAAAATTATTTCGACAACCTATGTTTTAATCTAATCAATCATCATACCACTCAACTATATATATATATATATATATGTTTTAATCAAGTCATCTGTCATTAACATTTAACGGAGTAGATAACGTGATAGTTAAAATATTTTGGTATAATTACACAATTAATTTTTGTTACTTATATATTCTTTCAGTCTGATCCTAATTATAATAAATTTAATTTTGAGCAAAAGCAAATATATATATATATATATATATATATATATATATATATATATATATATATATATCATTTCTTATCCAAAATATATTAAATGGTTGTCTTTGACCAATGATTTGACTCTTTCTATTTTAACCAAAGGTCATGGGTTCGATTCCCTTTGCCCCTTCTATTTGTGTAGATTTATTCTAATCAGAGAGTGACAATGTCACCAATGTCACATGTTACATTCTGATTCGATGATTAAATTTATTTTAATTTATTACAATTAGGGTCAAATTGAAAGAATATATAAGTAACATTGATAAACTGTTTAATTATATCAAAATATTTTAACTGCCACATCACCTACTCCGTTAAATGTTAACGACATGTAGCTTGATTGAAGTATTTAAATAGTTAAGTGGTTTGATTGATCAAATTGAAACATCAGTGATCAAATTGAAACATCAGTGATCAAAATGATTTTTGACCAGAGTTGAATGGTCACCCGTGTAGTTTACCTTTTTGTTTTAGAACATTTTATACTTTAATGTTTTAACTTTTGGTCAAAACAAATTGTGTTTGATAGAAATCGTTAGTTGACTAACGATTAATTTATATTGTTAACGTGATATTTTTAAATGTGTTTAATTATTTACATGGTATATGTCACGTTATTCTTTTCTTGATATGACACATTTTATATTATCGCTTTGAGTGACGTGATATATATTATATCATCCCTTTAAATGATATAAAATATGTCACATTATTAATTGAACATATGTAAAAATACTATGTTCGCATATATGAATCGATTGTTAGTTAGCTAACATTTACATCAAACAGGGTCTGAATTGACCAAAAGTGAAATGTTAAGGGGTAAATGCTCAAAAAAATAATAAAGAGTAAAGTGACCATTTATACAAATGTTGACGATATTTTTGTCATTATACCAAAGTTACAAGGTTAGTGTAAAAAAATATAAGGGTAAGTTATGTATTAAATCATCCAATTATTTTTGCGGTTTCGTTTTGATCATTTAACTTTTTTTTTAAATCATCATTAAATTGATGTTTTGTTTTGTTTTGATAACGAGAATAATTGGATGATCAAAATAGAATAATGAAAATAATTGGGTGACTAAATACATAGTTTACCCAAAACATAAATACCTTCTTAATTTTGGGTAAAGTACACAAATAATCTCATATATGACATTGTTTTGTTGTTCTAGTTATTTTTGTAATTTTATAGAATTACTAGTTTATAATATTGAATGGACCATAAATTTATATAAGGGTCTTTCAAAAAATTATCATCTTATTAATTTATCGAAATTATTAATTTAGACCTTGCGCCCAAGTTGAGAATGAGAAAATTATTATTTTAGAGAAGTTATTAGTTTATCGAGTATAATTTATAGAGGTTTTATTGTGTTCTTAAAATAAATAATTAAATTTTGATACTTTAATGAACTAATGTATTTTTAAAATAATTAATAGATACATGAATGCATTGAAAATGAATAATTTATTTTGAATATAATTTAAAAAGTTAATAATTCAACACTCTAAAAGTAAAGAAGTAATATTTTTACAATGAATTGGTTGAAGACATTAAACATGTGAGAGGGATGACGGCAAAAAAAAAAACACGGGTTGGCGTGGCAGAAGAGGGAAGGCCTTCTAGAACGTCTTTTAAATCGATTTAGGAGTGTAAATGAAAAAAATTCATTATATGAATTGTCGTATAATATTTATTTATGTTTACTTGTTAAATTAAAAATATAAATATAAATATTTTTTTATATTTATTTAATAAATTAATAAATATATATGTGTTTGGTTCATTCTTGTTGATGAAAAAATTTATTTATAAACTCATTTATTAACTTATTCGTTGATCTTCATTAACAAACCAATTTAACAATTTATTTAAAACTCACTTACTTTTTATTCTTTTACATTTTGAATATCGATAAGTGTATGAACTAAACTCATTGTGTAATTTAAAGTTTAAAGATTGTATTTTATTGTTGTTGTGGATGTTATAAAATTTATTTAGTTGGTTTTATTTAATTTTTTATAATAAATATTAAATTAATATACTCATGAAATCTTAAATAAATATATTTATGAACACTAAACGAATATAAATATAATATTAAAATTTTAAACGAATACAAATAATTATAAAAATAAGCAAAAAAATATATATATATAAACACAATTTTATCCGTTCAAATCCTTAAATAGATTGGGCGTTGGTGGTATATTTATTCTATTCTTTAGTTCACATTCACATGTTTTGATTTGAGATTTGTGTTTACTTAGTGGTTAAGGCTTGAAAAAAAGAAAGAGAGACACGTACACAAACTGTTTGACTCGTGACTTATAATACTGTTTGGTTCGTGAAGTTTAGCCCCCAAGAACAGAGAACTCACACGTGTTTCCTACACGTGTATTTTTTTATTTTCTACAAATGAATATTGCACTCTCTGCCTTTCAATTTAAGCATCTTTTATCTTATCTTATGCTTCACTGAATACTATTTGGTGTATTTTTAGATATTATTCTATATGAAATTTTAGATATTAAAATATTTAAATTACTAAAATTATTATCTATATCTGATTCAAGAAAATAAATATTCATATCCAAATATAAATTTCAATTTAATTAAAAAATAAATTTGACATTTTATAATTTTATACAATATATTCTATACCTCTAATTTATATTTATAAAAAACATATTTGAATAATTCTAAAATAAATACTTAATATCTCATTTGAAGGCTTGAAAAATAAATAATTTAAAAATTCAAATAATTTAAAAGCTGAAAAATAAAAATAAAAAGTCAAAGGTAATTGAGGCTGAAACTGTTGGATATGAGTAAAATCTTCTAAAGATCCAATTTTTTTCTTCGAATTTTCAGATAATTCTAAACTGAAATTTCTTTGATCCTTATCCAATCTAATCATTCATATTTTTTTTAGAAATTTGATCTGAATTATCTAAAAAGTAAAAATAGATCAAATATTCAAATTTTGAAATCAAATAAACGGACCAATTTTGTTTTTTTAACACTCCTATTGAATACTAGAGTTTGACACAACAATCATATGAGATGTTTTTTCTCTCTCTCATTTCCTCTCATAATCGAACTAATTGATCAACTAATTAAATATTAGATCAATTGATAAATATTTTTTAAAAATATAAATTATTGGTTAATTTGATTCAAACAAGTTACTTAACCGAAATAACAATAAATATTAAATTACATTATATATTACATACATATTTTAAGGGTAAAGTATAGTAATTGTCATTGAACTTTTCTAAAGCTTTCATTTAGGTCCTCTAATTTTTAAAACTTGTAATATAGTCCTCTAACATTTAGTTCGTTTACAATACAGTCCCCCAACATTTAGTCTGTTTGCAATATGGTCTCCGACGTAATTGGTCGTTTGACGCCGTTACATTGCCGTTAGTACGTTTGCAATATGGTCACTGAACTTTTCAGGTGCTTGCATTTAGGTCCCCAACTTTTAAAACTTGCAACACGATCCTCAATTTCATTCTAAACCCCAAATTCCTTTTCGATCTCAAATTTCCTTTGTTGCTTCTCTCTTCTCATTTACAGTGTAACTTTTCAGTCGGGGGATGCATGAGAAATTCTAATCTAACTTTGAATTATGTGGAGGTGTTGACTTGAATAAGGGTCCATTGAGAGAAGACCCGACCAAGTGACTATCGGGACCATCACGATTAAAGGTGTAATGTTAGATAAAGGTCATTTCAGGTGAACCATAGATGTTCGATGAAATGCTTGTGATAACAAAATAGAGTTAGAAATGCAGAGTTGACAAATACTACTAAGATGAACTAAGTATCATTGTTGGAAGTCACCAACAAAGCTGAATTATTTTGTATAAATGGCATATTTCTTCGTTTAATCATTGTGGTTAAAATTTTTCCAACGGATGATCAAATATAATGACATCCCAAACAACACATTCACCTCTTAGTCTCTTTCGCTCACATGCACTCTCGATTGGTTTTTATTCTTCAATTTTCCGTCATGTAAAATTGTAAACCCAAGCAGTGCTCTGTCTTTTAGCTTTTTATTTACAAAGAAAAATGAAGGAAGAATTGTTGGAATGCAACACCGATTACGTTTATTTCATAGCCTCTCCCCTTACTTGCATGAAGTATTTCTTAGCCTCAATAAACATGACGAACAATAGGTTAGGTACACGAGTAGTCATATAAGCCTAACGCGCAATTGACATATAGGCACGAAGTGTAAGTTTGACATATAGACCCAAAGCGCTAGGAGAACACATAGGTACACGAGAGTGTAACACCCCATATTTATAAAACTCGAGTATCATATTAGATCATCAAAGTAATTTTTTATATTACGATTTTAGAAATATGACTTACACAAAATTAATATTGAATACACAGTATGAAATAAACTGTCAATAACAATAACATTTACGATAAAGATCATCTACTACAAAAAAAAATCCAGAGTATATCCGACAATGATTGTACTATAGAAATGATTCAAATAAAGGCATCAGTGAGTGAGAGGATTTATCTTTTTCGTTTTTATTATAAATATATATCTCAATAATTTTAATATAAAAAAGTATTTTTATTTAAATAATATAATTGCTTCAAGTATTTATTAAAATAAAGTATAAATATTAGTTAATTTATTATCAATTATTTATACACGTAGATTGTTTTATGTGTTTTCTCGTTTTAACCAATCAAAATCAAGAGATTCAACATACTTGATCAAAGACGCGTCTAACAAATAATATGATTAATAAGCTGTGATCAGTTAGACGCATATTTATCTAATCTCACCAAAAAATATTATTTAATTAAATAATTTCTTTTAATGTAAATCTTATAATTAATTTTAAAATGAGTTTTCATTTTGAGTTGCTCAAAAAAAAAATATTGAGTTGAACCTAAGAACAGCTTATGGCTTATACTATTATACCGGGAAGTAGGCTATAGAGAATCTTACTTCACACCCCATAAAACTCAACTCATCGGGGAAGAAAGACTGAAAAGTGGGAAACAGTTGAATGAATTCTTGCTCAGGAAGAAGGCCCATAACCATGGCTTCCTTATCGTCTTTACCTCAAACTACCATCTCCGACATCCTCTCTCGGTTACCCGTCAAATCCCTAATCCGATTCAAATCCGTTTCCAAACACTGGGCCGACCTCACTTCGAACCCTGTTTTCATTGCAACCCATCTCCGCCGCTCCTCTCCGGACCCAAATCTCCTCATCCGCCGATACCACTCCCAATCTGGTTCGGACCACGGAATCTGGCTCATCACTGACCCAACTCTAAATTTCGGCACCCAGCTGCTGCGCGCCCCCATGGAGGAATCACTCGTTAGTTTCCCCAAAATCGTGGGTTCCGTCGATGGTTTGGTTTGTCTCGATATTTCCCCCTGTTATGCTTCTGATTTCGTTATGTGGAACCCTGGAACCAAACACTTTAAACATCTCCCTTTGCCTTTGATTACTTCCTCAAGAGATAACCCTATTTGGATGGTCTTTCTTGGGTTCGGTTTTGATTCCTTTAACAATGATTATAAACTAGTTAGGATTGTTTCTTTTAGAGGAAATGACGAGTCCCCTTTTCTAAGGGTTGAAGTTTATTCATGGAGAGAGGGGGTTTGGAAAGAAATAGAAGAACGTTTCGAGTTAGCTCAGTTATGTGGAGGGAAAGATGGAATGGTTGTTGATGGTAGTTTGAATTGGGTGGCCATTGGTTTACAAAGATTCTCTGATAGGAAAGTTGTTGTCTCCTTCGACATGGGAAGAGAGGTGTTTAAGACAGTACCATTGCCACCGGTTACTCGGTCTGGTAATGTTGTTGTTGTGTCTTACATGGGATTACTGGCTGTTGCTGTATATCCCTTGATTTTTGCTGCTAGTGGTAATCATATGAATCGGTTCGAGTTTTGGGTACTAAGTGATTGTGAAGACGGGATGAAACGATGGGCTAATTTGGTTGTGGTTGAGAATTTTTCAAAGTCCTTGGTTCCAGTGGGTACATGGAGAGACCGTGAGCTGGTGTTCAAATATACGGGAGTTAGAGACCGAGAACATCAGTCGAGCATCTTTTTGTTCGATCCGGTTGATCAAAGAACAAGAAGGCTTGCAATTGATTGCGTTGATTTCTGTTTTGAAAGTTTCAGTTATGTGGAGAGCTTGGTGCCAGTCAATTGCACAAGGTAATGATGATAGTGGTGCAAAAGCATAACAGCAGTTAGGTCATTTTGGTCTATTTCTCTAACTGCTTAGGCTTTTAGTTTAATTAGGTATAAAACTGTTAGAAGGCTTTAGATGAAATATCTCTTTTTGTTTCATAAATGAATATGGATGGATATTGTGTCTATAGTCTTTTGGTATATTACATGGTGAACTTAGCAATGGATTGCTCTTTCCTGCAATTATGACATGTTTTCTGATGAGATTTCCTGCATCATTACTGTTTTACTTCTTTATATATGTTTGTGTGATGATTTCCATAGAACATTGCAAGTCATACTTATTAGAGACCCTGTTGCAATGTGACTGAATCAGAGAACTTCCAACAAATTAGAATAGTTATTCCGTATGGCGTAGTTCTCGTTATTGGCCTACTCGGAAAAATCGATGGCTCTTTGGGTAGCTGGAAGTCTGCTGCAAGCCTGTGATTTGACCCTTACTCTTTTCATGTGATTATTTAGTTAGTAGTATGTCAATATAAATAGAGAGATTAGTAGATTCTGATTGATAAGGGTGTAAATAAACATAACGTTCGATGAACTGTTCGTGAACCATTCGTATAACATTTGTTTATGTTCGATTATTTCATAAAGAAATTCGTTTATTGACTTGTTTATTCGATTCTCTTTTTTCTTTTATTTTTTTACATTTTAAATATTGATGAATGTAGGAATTAAATTGAGCACGTGATGAATTTTGAAATTCAAACTGAGAAGCCTAAGGAGTTTAAGGACTGGTGTCCTAATTTTATCATTTTTCTTTAATTTGTGAAGACTTGCAAATAAAAGGGTAGAATGAGAGTGTCGATTGTCGAAGGTTTGCGAACGTTAAATGAATACGTTTTTGAATATTAAACGAAATGAATCGAGCACGAATAATCTCAAGAATAAATAGATTAATATGAACATAATATTAAAAATTTAAATGAATATTTTAAAATAAATAAATAAATACAAATATAGTTTTATTTGTTCAAGTTGAGTTCTTTAAAATTGCAGTGACTTGGACTGTCATTTGGCATCTTTTCATATGCTTTGCTATTTTCATTGCTTTTGAACAAAGTATACCTAAATCAAATACACCCTTGGAGTACTTATTTGGGTCATATGAAGTTGTTCCCACAGTGGTTTGTTTCCTATAAAACTTCAATTTTGCTCGAGCGCATTGCAGCTCTCCCGTTAGCTCGCACTCGAGGTGATGGTGATTTAATTTGAAACCGATATATTTTGATATGATAGAATTAAATTTTTTTAAGAAAAGGAAAGATTCAGGTTAAAGTCCGATCGAATTTAAATGAAGGGTAAATTTTTTTTGACCTTATCCGAGGGTCATAGTATAGTTTTTACATATAAATTTTATGGACAAAACTCTCTTTATATTTTTTCTAATTAAGTCTTTATTTTATGTCAAGTCATGTTAGGTCGGTTTTGTACTCTTAAAATTTCGAGTTGGAACAGGTTCGGATGGAAGAAATGTGATCTACAGGTTTGGTGAAGTATATGTATTTTCTGGGTCAGATTCGGGTGGAGAGTATGTGTTTTTGAATCGGGTCAAATTGGTCAAAAATCCGACCTACTGTCATCCTAATTCGACCAGTAATAGAGTGATTTAATTATAAAATCATAAAAATATAAAAGTTTTAAATATAAGCCCATGAGTATACCATCTAGAAGCCCATCTTATCATAATTTTTTAAGTACAAATATATTATTAGTTTGAGTGTTTATTATATTTCAAACACAACACTCAAGGAAAACATACTTAAAGTTTAAATCGAGTGCAAACATATAAGTTTAAAATCATAAAAAATATTACTAATTTTTTAAGTATGTTTTATAATAAATTTATTTTAGATAATTAATTACTTTTTTAACTTGATTTGATTTAGAATAAACAATTTTCACATAAAAAGTTGAATTTAATAAAATTATAAAATTATATTTTTAAACTGAATCATAAAATAAAAAATTTAGACTGAATCGAACTGTATAATTTAATTTTAGATTTTTTCAATTTTGTTGTTCAGCCGTAATAAAAAAGTATAGTTAAAAAGAAAAGTTACATATGTCCCAACATGCATGTCTGAATCAGTTAGCGTCCTTTAACTAGCACACTATTACAATAGTTTGAGGTACAATCTACTAATTTAAAGTTAAAAACAAAGAAAATAAGATGATTGATTTTTTTTCAAAAAACATAATATTTTAGATTTTAGATTCGATACAACTTAAAATGTGACATTCTTCATAATATTTTCGATTGCAATATAAACTATTACTTTTTTTCTCAAAATATTTAGGTTGCAACCGAAAATATTATTAATAAAGTCATATTTTAGATTGCGTCCAAACTAAAATGCTATATTTTTTGTCACAATTTCGATCGCGTCTATTTTTTTAATGTTTTTTTAACCTTAAATTACTTTTCCTTTAAGATTTTCCAATAAGGTAGAAGCCTTCATTAATAATGAATCGACAGCTACACATGGGAAAAAAAGTGCAGATCCTCCATGGTGGAGTCAAATTAAGCAATTAATTACTTATAAGATGGATGAAACACAACTCTTGTTGGCAGCCTTTGATCAATGAATGCAATTGATCCGGAACCAAGAATACCTACCTAATAACTCACCATGCTTGTTCCATATGGACCGCACACACGTGTATACAGGTCAATATATATATAGGTCATCACTAAGGAAATTAAATCATGATGGAATCAGTTAAATTATCAAGTATGAAAGCATACTTTAATCTATTTGTAAATATAGAATCTTGAATTTAATGTTAAAATCTTGAACCTTTGATTTTCATCTTCCAAATTAGTACATAGTTATTCTGGAGAAAACACTTTCACCTTTTGAAGATGAGTTATAATAAAAGTTAACTAATGATTCAGGGGTATAACTATAATAAATAACCTAACACAATGACTTTAATTTCTAATCAATCTATCATCAATTAGAAATTAGTTATTTGGGCATCAACACATATGTGACATATACTTTATTTAATTACTGAATAATAATTAACTTCGTATTAGATCATTTTAATATGGACTAACCCTTTTATGATAGTAAATAACATACAATTATTTACTTATTATATATGACATGATCATATAATCTAACATTCTCACGACCTGATTTTTTGAGTCATTGTTGGAGAATTGACCTAAAGTTTAATTGAATGGATTAATTGTCGTATGAAGGTCTCATGGGTCAAATTTTAGTTTAATCGGATGAGAAGTTGACTTAATTGGAGATAAAAAAATTGTGCGTGGAATGGAAGGTGAGGAGCTTGGAGTGCGATTTTCCCATAAAAAAAATCTTAGCTGATCGGGGAGATCTTCGTAAACTTTTTTAGGGAAATAGGCATAACATTTTTCTTTTCTCTTCCCCAAAAACTTCTTCATTTTACCTTTATTTTCTTCTTATCTTTCTTTACTCAAGCAAGAAGCTAATGCAAAAATACTTTATCTTTTTCTCTCCATCCTTTAAAGTTAAAATTATCAAGGTGAGTTTCATGATCATTGAATCATAAACTCTATGATGAGCTCAACATCTTTTATGATGGTGTCATGGACCCCATTTGGAATTTTGGGAGGGTTTAAGTTCCAAGAGCTTTCTCCAATGATCTCCATCTGGATTTTATATAACTTTGTTGTTGTTTAGCATGTTATAATGATCATGTTAATGTTGAAATCATTTTGGTGGCTTTTGATTAGTGGAAGGATTGTATGAGACCTCCAAGTAGGGATGGACCTAAACTGGGACGGGTGGAGGTGGTCGTCCTCCTAAAAATTTAAGATTACCATATTTTTTAGATTTTTTTATATATTTTCTATTGAAAATTTGTTTTCACCCCTAGAATTTAATAAGTTTAAGTTCGTCTCCTAAAATTTTATAAGTTAAAGTTTGTCCTCTCTAACATAAAATTTTGCGTCTATCCCCGTCTCCAAAAACAAAGGAAAGGAAAAGTTGATCCTTAGTTAAGCAAGAGAGAGTTTGGGGTTTCTTGGAAACTAAGATAACACACTTTAATTCTTCCCTACTACATGTATCTAAGTTTGCATATTTGAATTTTTAAAATTTTGTACCCCTAAATTTCTAATATATTTTTTTAAAAGTTTATAATCTCTAACACAAGCTCGTCCCGAAAGATGCCAAGCCATGTGCTACTTTTTAAAATGAGGATTCTAAAATATTTTATTATAAAACAAAATTGTAAAATATCAAAATTTATAATATTAAAATTGTTTCTTACAAAAATAAATTCAAATATATAAAACTAAGACAATATCACAAAAAAAACTCTATAATCGTGACATTTCGTTTAAAAGTATCATCCTTCGAATTATTTTAAAAGTAAAATCATGCTTTTTTTTTCAAATTATAGACTCCAGATTTTGAGACCCTATGACTTGTCACATGTCACACTTGAAGAAGATAGACGGATCTACTCTACCATAAAATTAAACGTTTGTTAGTGAACTTAACCCTACATCAAGACAAAAGATGCTAAATATAGTGTTTGGCGTAAATATGATGTTGTCCACATTGTGAAGTAAAGAGCTTTTGATCAAAAGGATATAACATGAACACCCATTTGAGACTATCCAACCAATTCCCATGGCCCATGGGCCCTCTCTTCTTGTGGCTGCAAATCACCAAGGCAAATAATGCTTAAATTTAGATGCTAAAACAATGATCACTGTGAAATGGCGGACTGCTTGATTATTATTATTTTTAATTAATCATTGGTATCCGTTCTATTGATCGAATAATCCAGATCAGTTACTACAAAGAAAAAAGCGAATCTCTTAATCTAATTTGTTTTATTCACAAATATCAAAGTTTGAACCCTTAACCTTACCTAAACAATCTAAAACTACTTGATTATTAGCTATATCCTATGTGAATAAGCACACTTTGACGTCTACTTTAAAGTCCAAATTACGATTATAAAATGGGTAATATGTTACTCGTCTTATGTTTTTAAGAATTATCTAATATAAAACACATAATTGATCAATATCGTAAATGATAAAATTTAGATTATGACCATCTTAGATTATTTATTATTTTGATTTGAGCGAAAAATGATAATTGATGATCGATTGATGGTTGACCGATAATAATAAAAAATTTGATGATGAACAAAAGAGAATGTGCAACAATTAGAAGATTTATTTCATCCATTTGGAGGTATATATATATTGATTTTAGTGTTGGTGTCATATATTGGACAATGATAATTATTTGTAGACTGATATAAGTAAGCTTAATTGATGTGATCGACTTGTTAAATAATTTTGACATTGACAAATGACATAAGTTTATCGAAAATTTTATATGAAGATTGTGGTTTATTGAGAAGTATAACAAATATAAAAATTAAAGGAAAAATTATACATATGGTCCTTTTTATTTTCTCGAAAATTTTAATTGCCTACTTAGATTTATGGGTTAAGTCAACAATCGAAGATCAAAAATCAAATAATATATAAAAAAAAGAGATAAAAAATCAAACAGATTCATAATATAAAAAACTAAAATTATTCTTTTTAAAATTAGACCTAAAAAACATAAAAGATCATCTGAATAGTTTACCAAACTTGAAGTGAAGTTGTAAGCCAAAAGATCACAGTGAAAGTAAAGGACAGCTCATGCTTGCGACATGGACTTCACACCCACCTTGTCCATTTCTATTCATCACAGCTTCCACCATTGTTCCCCCCCCCCTCTTTTTATACAACTTTTCATTCACATTCGCTCTCAACTCTCTCATTTCTTTTCTAATTTCATTTTCATAAAAAATCAACAGCAATGGGATACGACAGGCTCCCACCATTCCAACATGCAGAACTCACACCTAAAAACAACAACAAAAAGCTTCTCATTATTTCAGTTCTTGCCTTCTTCACTATCATCATTGTCTCAGTTGTCTGTGCCGGCCTCGTGGTTGTGCTCCGTGAAGGCGGCGGCGCCACTCCGGTCGGGGGAACCCTAATCCCCCGTAGGGCAACGCAAGCTATTTCCAGGACTTGTGGCAAAACTCGGTTCCAGAAGCTTTGTGTCAACTCGTTCCTCCAATTTCCTGGCTCGCTCACCGCCAGTGAGCAGGACCTTGTTCACATGTCCTTCAATGTCACGCTGCAGCGCTTCAACAGGGCTCTTTTTACGACTACGTCCATCTCCTATATCCAGATGGATCCACGTGTACGGTCAGCTTACGACGACTGCCTCGAGCTATTGGAAGATTCCGTCGACACCCTCTCCCGTTCCCTCTCCTCCGTCATTCCCAATGGTAAAGGCGGGTCCACTCAGGACGTGATGACATGGCTTAGTGCGGCGTTGACGAACCAAGACACGTGCACGGAGGGATTTGATGGACTAAGCGGGGCGGTGAAGGATCAAGTCACTGCCAAATTGGCGGACTTGTCGGAGCTCGTGAGTAACTGTTTGTCAATATTCGCGGCGAGCGGCGGAGACGACTTGGGCGGAGTGCAGACGCAGAACAGGAGGCTGCTGGCCTCGGGAGAAAATATAGACGACCGACATTTCCCGAAATGGTTGAGGAGGGAAGAGAGGGAGCTACTGGACACTCCTCTGTCGGCCATCCGCCCCGACATAATCGTTTCAAAAGACGGAAACGGCACCATTAAGACCATCGCCGAAGCCATTAAAAAGGCACCGGAGTATAGTACTCGCCGGACCATCATTTACGTGAAGGCGGGAAGGTAAAATCACCTCTCTTTTATATATATATATATATATCCTTCAAATTTGATTAGTAAGTGTATTTAATTACATGTATGCAGGTACGAAGAGAGTATTCTGAAGGTGGGGAGGAAGAAAATAAACTTGATGTTTGTAGGAGATGGAAAGAGTAAAACAATAATTACAGGTGGAAAAAGTATATTTGACAATATCACCACATTCCACACTGCTGTCTTCGGTAACTTTACTTTACCCCTTGTCTGTTTTCTTTCTTTCTTTCTTGGATATCTTATATATAAATAAAAAATAGGATAAACCACGTATTTACTCATCTAACTATTCATATAGTTTCATTTTACTCATTCAATTATTTTTTTCATTCATTTTGGTCACCAATCGTTAAAAAATTAATGACGATGTTGATATGCCACCATAAAGTAATATTATGTCATCATTGAAAAAATAAAAAAAATATCACATCAATTGTTCTATTAATTTTTTAACTATGGGTGACCAAATGAAATCACACATATTGTTAAGTATTTAAATACGTAGTTTATCCTAAAAATAAAATGTATCTGAGACTTGATTAAATAATTGTTTTAATCTTTATTTTCTCTTTAAAATATTTCGATTCCAACATTTGGTGGTGATTTATTGTCTCGTTGATTGTTTTACTTATTCCCTTATTCTTTTCAGCGGCAACCGGTGCCGGTTTTATTGTAAGAGACATGACATTCGAGAACTGGGCTGGACCGGTCAAGCACCAGGCAGTGGCTCTACGTATCGGGGCAGACCATGCTGTAGTATACAGATGCAACATAATTGGCTATCAAGACACATTATATATTCACTCCAATCGTCAATTTTACCGTGAATGTGACATTTACGGGACAGTCGATTTCATTTTCGGTAATGCCGCCGTGGTGTTCCAAAATTGTAGCATTTACGCTCGTAAACCCTTGCCTTTTCAAAAGAACACCATCACAGCCCAAAACCGAAAGGACCCAAACCAGAATACGGGCATATCGATCCATGCATGCCGAATCCTACCGACGCCGGATCTAGCAGCTGCCAAGGGTAGCTTCCAAACATATCTAGGCCGTCCATGGAAGTTGTATTCTAGGACGGTATTCATGTTATCGTACATGAGTGACCACATTCACCCTAGGGGATGGCTCGAGTGGAATTCTACATTTCCGGTCGATATGTTATATTACGGCGAATACATGAACTATGGACCGGGTGGGGCAATCGGCCAACGGGTGAGATGGCCGGGATATAGGGTTATCACTTCAGATATTGAAGCAGCCAAGTTCACAGTGGCACAATTTATTTATGGATCAACATGGTTGCCATCAACTGGAGTCACTTTCTTGGCTGGCCTACAAGTGTAACATAAATTTTATATTTTTTTAGGTTTTTAATTGTCTGGAATATAATTATATCTATTTTTTTTTTGGATATTACATAAGTTTTACTCTTACTTTTATAGAAGTTTGGAGATGTTTGGATCAAGGAATATAAGATTATTTATTAAAATAGATGACCAGAATGTAAATAACTTGTGCATCATAAAAAATATTACATTACTTTATTTAGTTTATGGATTAAATATAAAGATTATAATATATAGTTAGAAAATTTAATATTATATAAGAATAAGTTTCATTAAAAATGACCCGGTGTGTAGACGGTGTAATACGTACGTGGAAACCATATTACATGTGGTGCGTGACTGTGTTTTATCACAGGCTGTCTGGTCAGATTTACTTTACAATTGGTTTGCTCTTAATCCCACAGATGATCCATTAGTATGGCTAGATTGGTTGTTTGGTCATTATCCAAACCAAAAACACTCTGAAATTTTAGTAGTGATTTGGGCTCTATGGTATGCGCGCAACATACATTACCACCAAGGAAAATTAATGAGAAAAGAGGAGGTACTTACTCTCATCCGAACGCAATGTGTTGAATTCATAAAGGCAAATATGGCACTAAGGGTACCACCGTTGTCCACTCTCACAAGATGACAAGCGCCCATGTCCCGAATGGTGAAAGTAAACTTTGACGCCCGTTTTGCACGAAATCGACAACATGCATGGACAGGTGCAATAATCAGAGACAACCATGGATTAATAATGGGAGCTAGTAAAAGGAGTGTTTCCTGGATCACCTCTGTTTTCAAGGCTAAAGCTACAGCAGCCGTACATACAATTTCATTAGCAGTGGATCTGGGCTTCTCCGAGATTGTCGTCGAAGGTGATTCCAAATCCATCATTGAAAAATTAAAAGTAACAGCGGAAGATTCATTCGTCGTTAGCACTTTAATCATGGAAGCAAAAGGCAGAGCAGAAAGTTTCCGTTCGTGTAAGTACCGATTCGATCCAAGAAGTGCAAACATGGCAGCCCATATCCTAGCTACTGAGAAGTTGTTGGGTTTGACTGATCTGTTTTGGGTGGAGGAAGTTCCTTGGCGAGTGGAGTCACAAGCATCGGAGGATCGTCGCTGGTTAGACCCCCTTGATAAAGATGATGTTGTGTTGCGTGGTGAGTTGCTAGGATCTATTTATGCATTTGTTCTTTTCTCGCAGACGAGCGATTATCTCCAAACTTATCTGTTGCGTGAGGGAAGTCTGAAAGGCCAACATCTGTTCATTTAGTATAGACTTTAATTAAGTTTTATTATAAAAGTGCCTTGGTTACTGATGTCCAACTGATTTTGTTTTCGAGTGGTTAGCTTATGAGGTCTTCAAACATGTCTTACTTCTAATAAATGGTTGGCATTTCAAATACAATTTTTTTTCTTATGATTGTTATTTTAAATAAGATTAATTTTGAATACTAAATTGAAAGGTATTGATATGGAAATTTATAATTAGGGACGGTGCTAGAGGACTGGCAGTGGCCTTGACCTCCCAAATGATAAAATTGTTCATTAATCCTTTTAGAATTATAACATTTAAAATAGGTACAATGATAAAATTATATTTGTTTTTCCCTCTCGAAAATGATAAAATTTTATAATTTTTGACGATTAAAAAATATAAAATTTTAAGTTAATATAATATTATACTTTAATTTTCTCCTTAAAAAATTAATTTAACTTTGTTCTCAAAAAAAAACTTTGTGATTTTATTCCTCTTCATAGTTCTATTGGACTCTATATAAAATTTACATTTAACATATTATTATTATATTCGATAATATTTGAAACAACAAATGCACACATTATTAATATAATTAGTATATATATATCCAAGAATGAAATCGTGGAGAGTTGATGGAGACAATCGTTCTCTTAAATGATTTAAATTTCTATATATTTTAGATATATTTTTATATTTTTCGATTGAAAATCTATTTTTATCCCCTAAAATTTTATGAGTTGATTCTCCTTTAAAATTTTATAAGTAGACCCCTTTAATATAAAATTATGCGTTCGTCCCTATATATATCATTATATTTTTCCATATTATGTTCAAGCCCGTCCCAAAATATGTGGGGAGGACCATGTGCTACTTTTTAAAATAAAACCCCTAAAATATTTTATAATAAGATAAAATTGTAAAATATCAAAATTTATCATATTACGATTATTCTTACTAAACAAAAAAAAATCGAACATATAAAACTAAGACAATGTCATAAAACAATTCTATAATTGTGTCATTTTCTTTTAGAATATGAGACTCATATTTTAGAATTCTGTGATATGTTATATCACATTTGTAAATGGACGGACCTGATTCATATTTAATATTGTAAGTATATAAAAATAAACTAAAAAATAATTATCACTATGAACGAAGTGGTCAAAGTAAACTAAACATACAAATGTAAAAAAAAAACATAAAAAGAGACTTTTGTTTTGCATATTATTTGAAATAAACGTGTTCATAGATCGAATTGATGTCTGTTTTTTTAATAAAAAAAATCAAATGCAAGCTTGAATCCACCCAGTTTTATACGAAATATCTATTTTTAATTTTAAAGTAATAAAAATATATTTTTATGTTAATATATATAGATAAACTTAAATATTTTTAATTTTATTTAAATTATATTCAAATAAAATTAGACAGACTATTTAATTTATGAACATATCTAATTTGAGAGGAAAAATTTGACAAAGCAATAAAATTCAAAGAGAAAATCATCTTTAAGAAGAAGAAAAAAACACAATGACATTACCCTAAACTTTCACGGGTGTATATTATTGCTTAGTCATATATTATCACTATCAAATAATATTATTGAATCAAACAAGTTAATGATATTTCTACTAGTAACAATCAGCACAAATACTACATAGAGGGGTTATTATTTTCAATCGGGATCGTAGACGAGACATATGTAAGTTATTCAAATTTAATTCAATTGAAGTTTGATTAATATTTGAATTGAATGGACTCGGCTCGAGCTCAAACTTGACTCGGAAAGCTCAAGAGCAACTTGAAAAATAATATACTCAAATTTTAATTTTAAATTAAATTACTAATAATATTAATAATTATATGTTGTTCTTCTTAAGAAATACAATATAAGATTTTCATGTACTTAAGGTTTGAGTTCGAGTTTGAACTTCAAACGAGCTAAATCTAATAATGTTTCGAGTTTAAATTTTTTCAAGCTCGAGTTGAACTCTAATTTTTTATTTTAAGTTTAAGTCGAGTATCAAGTAGACCATGAGCTTATATATATATATATATATATATATATATATATATATATATATATATATATATATATAAGCTCGTAAGCTTTCGAGTTGAGTCGAGCTTCAATTCTTAATTTCGAGTTCAAGACAAATTTAAAAATTTTAAACTCACGAATTTATAAATCGAGTCGAGATAACTTTAAACTTTTTATTTAAAAAGTTGAACTTAGCAATACCAAATTTCAACTTGACTCGTTTACTTTCCTAATTATCCCTTCTACTTATAAATTTCTTACATGGTGAAAGAAGTGTTGTACAAAAGTGATGGTGTCGGTGGATGAATAGAGTTATTAAAAATAGTTGGCCACTGAATTGATTTTTGGTTGGTGACAAAGTCAGTCCCCTGGGTCACACGGTTAGAAATAGTAGGGCAAGGGCTTAGGAAAACATATGGCTGTCTCATCTCGAGAAGTTTAAAGAATGTAAGTCTAATTTAAAATAAAAAATGATAATTTTGAACGAAATAAAAAATATGATAAAAATTATAAGAATATTTTAGGTTGGGCATAACTTAAAATGATACATTTTTTTAATATTTTCGGTTAATTTTTTATTTTATTTTTTTCATAATAATTTCGGTTGATAATCGAAAATATTACATTTTTCATAATATTTTTGGTCTAACTAAAAATATTAATAAAAATGTAATATTTTAGGTTACGCTCAACTTAAAATGATATATTTTTATCATATTTTCGATGACATCCTATTATCGTCGTTTCTTAATCTTAAATTAGATTATCGTACATCAAAACTACCCTAATAGATAATCCATTTTTATTGTTATGTTGAGGGCACAAAAACCAAAGAATGATGCAAGTTTCGCAATTGGCAGCCTAAACACCATAGAGTGCAAAGCCAGCTGTGGTGGAATAATGAGAAAAAAGACCCAGCAACATTGTGATCTTATACATTGCGTAAATGAACAAAGTGTTAATGAATTATTTATAAATAGTTTGTATAACGTTTATTTATTAAGTTAAATAAATGAGTATGAACATAAATTTTATGTTCATTTAATAAACGAATGAACATGAACATAAATATATCCGATTTTTTTATGTTCACGAACAAACTCGTTTATCGACTCGTTTACTTGATCCTCATTTTCTTTTTATTTTTCAGATTTTAAATATTGATAAAGGTAAGGACTAATTTAAACCTAATGTGAACTTTGAAGTTCAAACTATAAAGCCTAAAAACCTTAAGAACTAATGGTGTAATTTTACTATTTGTTCATTGACTTGCAAGTAAAAGGGTGAAATAAAGTTTTGGTTACTAAATATTTTTTATAATGTTAAATGAACATGTTTGCAAACGTTAAATGAATATGTTTATGAATATTAAATGAACATGTTCGTAAACGTTAAACGAATGAACACAAACACCTTCAAAAATAAATAAATGAACATGATACTGAAAATTAAAACAAACACAAACCGAACATGGACACCTTCAAAAATAAATAAACAAATACGAACACAACTTCATTCGTTCAAATTCAATTCATTTACACCCCTAACTTTATAAAGTTACAGTTACTTTTTCCATTCAAGAGTTGAACTTAATCTGATTAAATAAAAAAAATACTGAATATAACATAAAAAGAACATAAATTCTAGCATGCACAATTAGACAATTCTTGCAAAATCTTGTGAATCTGTTTTGGATCCACACCAATTCTCAACAAAAACACAAAGGGAAAATAGTGAAAGGGATAACCAACCCATA